AGAATTGTGCCGGGCTCTGCAGGGCTGTACACGTGAGTGTCCAGAGCTGTGCTGGTCTTTGGAAGGAGGAGGAGGAGGAGATGTGAAACCGGAACGGCACTGTCGAAGACATCTACCACGAGGACCCTAGCAGGCTGCCTGAGGTCCCCAGCAAGCGCAGCCGAAGTCATTTAGAAATTTAAAGTGACTGCTATGTATCGGAGCATTTTCACAAGTACAAGTACTCGTGAAAATGCCCTGTATCTACACTGACACCGATATTAGTATCAGTATCGATATGTACCAGTATATCCCTCATTATGGTACAATGTTCATGACTTACCATTATATTTACCTTTTGAATAGGGCAGCTTATCATAATTGCAGTGATTTGTAGTTATGGAGGCTGAAAGGAACATCTACTGAGAAGTAGGAAGGCTGTCATTGCTGAGGGCTCCTTCTGAAAATTCTAGTTCTCTGGTTGTCATGCTAATCCAATGGCTTCTTTTTTTGAGCTAATGACCCAAAACAAGTATGCAGACTAGTAGCTCTTCATTCTGACTTATTTGTTTGATTCTTGGGCAGTGTCTCAGAGAGTCTTGAAGTCAGAGATAGCCAGGAAACTGGCATGTTCAGAAGGATGTCAAGGCTCTGTTTTGCTCTCAGTACAAGTCTTTTTAGTTGAACTCGAGTCACAATTTTATTTTTAATTTTTTTGATAAAATAGAGAAGAGTTAAAACCTCTGCTTTTGCAGCTGCATGTGCCCTCACTGAGGGGATTTCCTTTTTTCGTGCTGTGTCACAGGAGCAGGAAGTGTTGGGAAACTACCCATTAATGACAGACAGAAACACAAACCTGACAAAAGCTATAAATATTACCCATTCTATCCAAAAATGAAAAGAAAAATCGTTTTGGCTTGAGTGTTGCTGTTAACTGGCCGTTGACACTAGTAGGAGTATTCGATAAACAGTCAGTAACTAGCAACCAGTTGGAATTCACCAAACTTATGTCAAACCAGAACAAGATGCATTCTGAATGCCTGCATGGATACGTAGCTTTGCACTTTATGACTTTGCTTCTTGCCATGTTTTATTGAAGAACACAATGGATGTCACTTGTAAATGACTGCATAATCCAAATTGTGACTTCAAACTATTTTTTCCATTTAGCGACTAGACTAGCATGTTTGGACCACTTAAAGGAGAATTATGGGGATAGTGAAGTACACTCATCCCCATAATTAGATACAACACGTGACACTGAAGCTGTCACACATTGTCTCGTTGATCGAGAATTGTGCGATCAAATACCACTGATCGATCAGTTCACTTGCAGAGAGTGGTGACTGTCAGCTACCACCCCCACAGGGATTCCTCCCTCCCCTCTCCGTTCCTCCAGCGCTGACTAGAGGAACAGATGGGGGGGGGGGGGGAAGCATAGCTGGCTGGCAGAGCAAGCTGTCAATCACACAGCGGGTTGGATCCCAACAATATTGTTGGGATCCATCCTGGCTGCAGCGCGGCTCTGCGCTGTCAGCATATAACAGACAATAGCCTGCTATATGCTGAGTTTTGGGTCACAGAAGGACATTAGTATATGGCAGAAAAAGGTTGGGCCATAGTTCTCTTTAAAAAAAGAACTATGGCTCAACCCTTTTTGGCCATATTTCTCTTTAGGGTCACAGGAGGACATTCACTATGTCCCAAAACTCAGCATATAGCAGTCTATTACCCTCTATGTGCTAGATATGTAAGCCAGCAAAACATTTGTTTCATTTTGGATTTTTCGTTATTTTGTTTTTTGGGATTCGGGTCCGAAAGTCAATTCGTTTCAGTATTTGGATTCATCCTAATCCAAATTTTCGTTCATTTTGGATGAGTTCAATTATATTTATGAACGAAAATTTGTTGCAGAAAAGTGACTAAATGTTTTTTTCCTTTTTATCTTTTGACAGTCCACAGAAACAATTAAAAAAACAAAACAGTGTGCTGTTCCCCCATCCCAATTCATACCAGACCCTTTGGGTCTGGTAGGAATTTTAGGGGGGACCCCAACGCCTAAAAACAATAAAGTGTGGGGTCACCCTAAAATCCTTTATCAGACCCTTGCAGCCTGGCAGAGCAGAAAAGAGGGGAGCGATCATGCACCCCCCCTTGCACCATACCAGGCCACATGCCCTTCACATATGGAGGGTGCTTTGCAGGGGGGGGCAAAGTAGACGTCGGCTCTAATTATGGGGATGAGTGTATTTCACTTCCCCCATAGTTCTCTTTAAAAATCCAGGCTGGGAAAAAATACTCCTGCAGTGCCCACTTGCCCCAAGGGATAAGGGATAAATGCTTGTTGACTCTAGAGGGTAGAGAAAAAGTCTGTATTACTTATCCTAACCCTTGCTCTGACAGGCTCTGGTGCTCTCCTCTTGTTCCTGACACTTGGGGTCATTATGTACAATGCAGGGCTATTAATCCTGCATTGTACAGTATGTATAGGAGGCAAGTTTGCAAATTATGTCCAGAAACAGCTCAGAGAGGAGCCTTAGCAGGCCCGGTTGCTCAGATAGAGGGAGCTGTCAGCATAGGGACTTATGTTAGTGTTATTCCTTATTCCTCCACACCTAAGCAAAAATAAGCATTCGACCACTGCAGTGCTGGTGATGCCGTTGCAAGTTATTTTTTTTCCCCAGCCCAGAGTTTAGCTTTAGGCTGAATTCACACCAGCAGCCAGTGCAAGCCTGACGCTGGACAAGGAAATTTGCTTTCTTTCAAATGGGCTCAAATGATGTGTGCTCAAAAATGCAACCAGTCCTTTTTTTCAGCTCAACAATGTGGTACAATTGCATCGCATGACACTGTGATCATAAAACTTAATGAAATGTCACCTGTGCCATTTCAATAAAATTCAAATTACAAAAAGGTAAACATTGCAATGCACCGGGATCGGCATATCAACACTGTGCCTGGCAACGCACATCAGCAGCCATGAGCTGTAGTGCAGCTGTTGGTGTGAATTGTCACTTAAGTGTGCAGATAAAGAAAGTACCGTATTATTCGCTCCATAAGACGCACTTTTTTCCCCCCAAAAGGAGGGGGAAAAAGTGCCTGCGTCTTATGGAGCGAATCCCGACGCCCGAGACATGCAGTTTCGGGCGCCGGGCGAGTAGTAGGAGCCACTGCTCGTTTAATACGAGTGATCTAACGAGATCACTCGTATTAAAGCCGAGCAGCGGCGGCGGCGATCGAGTTCAGCAGCAGGAGCCACTGCTCGTTTAATACGAGTGATCTAATGAGATCACTCGTATTAAAACCGAGCAGCGGCGACGATCGAGATAACCATAGAGCAGACGAAGAATAGACGTTCTTCGCCTGCTCTGTGTCATCACTGAGACCGTGGCGCTGTAATCACAGCGCCACCTGTCTCAGCGGTCACTAACTGCAGCTTCTGTCATAGAAGCTGTCACAGAAGCTACAGTCTCGAGTGCTCCATAAGGCACGCCGGACCTCCCTGCGTCCTATGGTCCGGTGCGTCTTATGGACCGCAAAATACGGTATATAAATAATAAAGCAACACTTAAAAGCACGTCTTGAAACTTACTTTATTTGAGGCACACAACACACATATTTAAGGCTCAATAAGTCATAGCAATAACATGTATATGTGCTAGATTAAAAAAAAAAAACCTAGCTCCAGCAGTAGGGTTATAGTCACTGGTTTCAATGCATGGTTAAATCACCTCCTAAGTGCCTTTTATTGGCCTAGAAATTCCAAGTAGTAGCCTTGTATTTTGAGATCAGTTGGTCATAGGAATCTGCAAGTTAGTCATGGACATCATATAGGGTATAGGGCTTCAGACATCCATTGCAAAAATAGAACAGAGACGCCAATCTCTTCAGACTTCCACAGTGCAGAATTATTAGGAGAACAGGCTGACACGGGGCAATAGAGCAACAGCTTAATAAGAATGTGCATGAAATATTTCTTTGGAAGCGACACCAGACTTCCTGGTTCCTGAGGTTCATCTCAGCTCCTGGTACATAGTTACATAGTTAGGTTGAAAAAAGACACAAGTCCATCGAGTTCACCTATAAGGCTTCTCTGGTCCTCCTGCCCAGATAGTTCCAGGCCTCTCTAGGGTCCACATGGCTTGAGGCCTAGTCATCTTTTCCAACATTGTACATGCCAACCCCCGGCCAAGCCTGAGGGTGGACTGCTCGAAACCCAGCACAGATCCCTGAGTATATATGCCCTCCCCCTGTATGTACCACTGGCCATGAAACTCCTAGTGATTGGCTGGTGAGGCATAGACACTCCTAGTGTTCCCTTATTTGCTGCGCCCACTCTGCAGCAGGGTCACACCCTACTCAAGCAGGTACAATCAACAGCAGAACACCTGGAATTAACCAGATAATAACCAACTACAAAAAATGGAAATAAAAAATAACCAACTACAAATTAGCCAGTCTGATTACAGTACTAGCAAAGCTAAATTTCTAGTAGCCACTCCCCTGAAGGTGGTAGGGGCTACATACAGTATATATAGATATATATTATATACTGTATATATACACTCTATACAGTATATTTGAAGGAGGCTACACATAGTGCTGTGCAATTGAATTATTAGGCAGGAAGTAGAAATTATGTATGTAAACGTCGGCCCCGGCGATAACAACCTTATCTCCAGTTCTTATAAGCTCCTGAAACTTTTGAAAGATTATGCAACATTGCTGAACATTTGTAATATGTAAATGCTAAACTTTATTTTTTATTTATTTTTAAATTCAGAAATGGAGAGCATTAGAGAACACATTGAGGAAGTCCAAGAATTACCCAGTGAAAAAGGTAGCATTTAACAAAATATTTAATCAATATGAACATATTTTTGGATTGTATTACTTGATATATGCTTCTTTATTTTTTTAAAGCTGAACTTCAGGCAGATAGCAAAAAAAAAAGCTAAAGTAAGCATGCAGTACATGATCTGTTTCACCTATTTAAGGATATATAAATGTGTAACTCTTGCAGGCCGCAGAGCCAAGTTGATGACTTCAATTTTCTCCTTTTTTAAAAATTCTTTATTTATAATCTCGAAAAAGCAAGCTATACAATGTAGCGTACAAATGAAAAGAACATTATCCAAACTCAGGGTTGCAAATCCAACAGATACTTGTTGATACATTATAACAGGCAAAATAAAGCTAAAATCTCAAAACAATATAGACCAGCACAGGTGTACATGCTAAGTAAAGCATTGGTAGCCCGCCTCTCGAGACAAAACTTTTGTTGTTTATATATACGTCAACATAACTAAGACCTACAAAAGTCAGTCAAACAGGACAGTAGAAACAAAAAGAAGAAAGAAGATCTCATGAAAAAGTATAGGAAAAGAAACACGGCGTCAGTGTCCAGGCGACCAGACAGGAGATACAAAGACCCAGGGAAAAAAGAGAAAGCAAAGAAAGAAAGAAGAGTGCCAGTGAGGGAGAGCAGCCAATCTCCCTTCCCCCTCAAGCAGTAGACCTTTGTGAGGCCAAATTGTATTCACCACCTCCGTCGAGAAGTGAAGAATCCTTGAACATGACCAGAAGACATGCACCAGATCACCCACACCCTCCCCACTTCTCCAGCAACTCCTGGAGGACTGAGGAAACATTTTATGCAAAAGGGTGGACACTGTACCAACAGGAGAGAAGCGTATAGTTATTTTCCTGTATTCTGCTGGAGATGGAGGTGTAATGAGTAAAACAGATGGCGTCACTCTTTTGTTCCGGCATAAGAAGAAGATTCTGATCTTGTTCCCACTTCCCAATAAAGGGGGCGGGAAGAAATCCTCCGGTTGTATCAAGGCCTTATACATCATGGAGAGAGAATGTCGCACAGGGTCTTTCTGAAGACAAAAGCGATCAAACTATGTTAAAGGAGCCGGAGACCAAAGCCTAGGCACCCGAGACGTTAAAAAGTGCAAGAGTTGGGGCAACCTCCAGTCATCCAGCGCAGGGACCACCAGAGAAGAAGCAACCCTCAGTTCACCACTTGACACGAATTCACACAGTCTGAACTTGCCTTGTTTAAGAAAAGTAGAGAAGCGGGCATTAATCTTCCCAGGACCAAAGTCCGGATGACCCATCACTGGGGGTATCAAAGATGGCTCCTGACCAAGAGCACAGGCTCCCATAAATCCCGCACAGATATTCAAGGAGGGACCAATTAAGGGATGGCTTCACAATAATTTACAGCGGAAAGTCATCAACCAGGGAACCCCTCGCAATGGCACACTCGATGAAGCCTGCTCCAGTGCTATCCATTGTTTGAGGTCATGATTTCTGCACCATTCCAAGGTTCTGGCTAAATGGGTCACTTTATAATAGAGGATAGGGGAACCCCATCCCACCAAGAGACTTGGGAACAACAAGCAATTTGTGTGACAGTTGAGAGGAAGAGTGAGCCCAGACAAACTGAAGAAACTCCCAGCGTAGCGCTCGGAGAAAGGGAGACAGTATGAAGATGGAAAGTGTCCGAAATAGATAGAATATCCTAGGCAGGGCGTTCATTTTGAGAACGGCATTCCTGCCAAACCAAGTATGGGAAAGAGTAATACCCTGGACATTAGAGGTTTAAAGTTCACTGGAAAGATCCCGGAAACGGCCGGTGTAATAAGTGCACCTAGATAAGAAATATAGTCCTTGGTCCATTAAAATGGAAAAGCAGACATTGGTCCCCGAAGCCTATGCGCAGGGAGACGTTGAGCGCCTCAGATTTGTGATAGTTTATTTTAAAGATAGATAACTCACCAAAGAGAGCGAATTCCCGAAGGAGATATGGAAAAGTCGTTTCAAGGGATGAAACGAAAAACAGGAGGTTGTCCATAAACCCCGCAAGTTTCTGGTAGTCAGTCCCTAAACGAAGACCCTGAATATTGGGATTTTCCCGAATTCTACGTAGGAATGGTTCTAAGGACAGGAGAAAAATTAAAGGCAAAAACGGACAGCCCTGTTTCGTCCCGTTAGTCAGATGAACGAAAGGGGACAAAGCCTAATTGAGCCTAATAGCCACAGTCGGAGAGGAGCAGATGGCATCTAACCAGGTACATATATTAGTACCAAAGCCCAAGTGACGAAACGTAGTCTTCAGGGAGCTCCAGTCTACTCTACTGAATGCTTTCTCTGCATTCATAGAGAGCAAAGCTAAGGGGACGCCTCTTGAGTGAGCTAGGTGGATAATGTTGATCACCCGCGTGGTATTGTCCTTCACTTCTCTGTGTGGCATAAAACCCACTTGACCTGGATGGATGACCGTTTGTAAAAGAGGCAATATCCTAATCATCAGGATCTTGGAAAAAATGTTTAGGTCCTGATCGAGGAGGGAAATGGGTTTGTAGTTGGCACAAGCCGAGAGATCTTTACCCTCCTTAGGAATCACCACGATATGGACCCGCAGAGCGTCAGAAGGAAGAGAGTGCCCATCCAAAATGAGGTTTAAAAGCTGCAACAAAGTGAGGAGCCAGGAGGGGGGCATACGTTTTATAGTATGCGGCCGTATAGCCATCCGGTCCCGAAGACTTACTTACGGTTTGAAAGACTTCACTAACATCATAAAATTAATCTACAGTCAGCGATGCCTCCAAGGCTGTCACATCTTCAGCATTAAGTCTAGGGAGACTAGATAGGATTCTATGGAATGTTGCCTAGAATGAGAACCAGAACCACTGGACCGGGCAGGCAGGTTGTACAAAGATTCATAGTAGGAGCAAAAACAGTCCGCTATATCAGATGACTTAACCACCATGCCACCCACCTCTCGAGATATATAAGGGATATAAGTTTTGAGGGACTTCTCTCTCAAGGATCTAGCAAGGGATTTCCCGGGCTTATTTCCGAATTCGTAGAACAAACGAGGACCCCTCACTAGTTGGGCCCTGGTCTTATACAGGAGCAAAGATCCTCACGCAGGATCGTTGGTTTTGAAACATGAGATTGAGCAAGAGACTGTTTGTGGAGCGCCTCCAGGCAGGAAATCTGGGACAGAAGTTGAGTAGTACGTGCAAGCCTGGAGTGTTTGAGATAGGCAACCTGCCGAATAAGATGTCCCCTAATCACATATTTATTGGCTTCCCAAACCACAAGCAGAGGTGTAGAGCCCTGGTTAGTTGCAAAGTAGCTCTCAATTTCTCCTTGGAGATCTGAGTGATAAGGCCCACCCTGCAAAAGGGAATCATTAAGCCTCAACATCCCTGCCGTAGGAGAGACCAGACTCCAGCGGAGGAGAAACGTGATAGGTGCATGAAGTCTCGATAGAAGAGTCCACAGCATAAGGAAGAGCGTTGTGGGAGAGCATGCAGTAAACTATACGGGTATAAGATTGTTGGGGGATGAAAAAGAAGGTGTAGTTTTTATCTGAAGGGTGTTGCAGTCTCCATATGTCCACCAAGAAATTAGAGTTGGCCCTGGTTGGGGCAGTATATCGCAGCCAGCATCACCCGTCTACCATTCATAAACAAGTCAAGTCAGAAGCAGAAAGCAACCATGTGGGTCTCTATGCTAGTCTCTATGCTTATGCATGTTTATCAATGATACACAGGAAGTTCTCTTTGTATGTTGTATAACACTGTATTCACATTATAAAGTTCTCTTAAGCAAGTAAAACTTTATTCAGCATTCCTCAAGATCTCAGTGCTTCATCTAAACACATAACCAACACATTTTAATATCCTCTAGTCCCATTTACATCAGTGTGAGCTCTGTTTTGACCCTGAGCTCATTCCTATTCGTGACTCAAATTTTCACTCTCTTGCAGAAATACAGCCACCACTTCTAGGCATGTCAGATGCTACGCCCTTTACTGTATGCTGTGGTTCCACCCACTGGCCACTGAAGTACTACAGTAGGCAGTAGTGATTCATTGACCGCCACACTGAAACACAATGGGCAATAGGGGACACAGGCATCTGACACACCCAGAAGGGTGTCAGATGTTAAAAATACATTAGCCTCAATAACTCTGCATGAGAGCAAACACAGGGGTCACAGCCTGCCAGACTTGTAAGTACTAATACTCTTCTTATACAGTGCACAAAGATTACATTTTTTTCTTGTCTAACAGGGTCACTAAAAGTAGTAGGTATGTAGTAGGCCTATGAATAAAATTGACACTTCATGTTATTAGTACACATTTCTGCATTACCAAATCACATTAATATTGTAAGTAAAAAAAGACCTCTTTCTTGTCACAAAAAAAACTGCTGTGTTTCATCTCCGGGCCCAGACAGCTTAGATCCAGGGTTGCCAGCCTTAAACCATTATGAGCTCCCTGTGAATAACCTTTTTATGAGCCTGTGTTGACGAGCTTTTGTTAGCTTCAAATGGGTTTTGCATTCCTATGCACGTTTTGCACCATACCTTAGTGCCCTCGGAAATGAGGTGGTTAAAAAGGATGGGTAAAGGACCGTATTAATTTTTGTTTCCCTTGCAGATGTTGAAAGTGAAAATGACATTTCTGGTTTAAGTCTTCAAGACCAAACAAGACCTGAGGTTAGTTAAAGATCATGCTTGCCATTTCGGTATCCAGTTTTAATGTGTCAGTTCACCCAAAGTTGATACTCTTTTATTGTTATCCAATGGGCTGATTTACCACTGACTTCTCACTGTGTCTTCAGCAGCAGAATCTCCTTACTGGAGTTGCAAGCTTCACCATCCTCCACAGTGACATCCTATTTCTCTTTAGAAATTGGAGTGTCTGAAGCTGACTACAACTTGTATTCTCACCCAAAAATGATGGGTTGCTAGGTATCTGCCCTTCTCCTTAGCAGAGATGGGCTCGATGTCACGTTTGACTCGAACATCGGCAGGGCGTTCGTCGGGCTGTTCGCCCACGGCGAGTACCCCACAAGGCGGTGAACCTTGTGAGCCCTCATTGGCTAAAACCTTGCACCTGACCACAGGTTTAGTCAGCTGCAGGACTTTGCCCAATCAGGGCCCAGTACTCTGCACTATGTACCATAACTTTGCCCAATCATGGCCCACTTGTCACAATCGTTTATATGTTGCCGCCATCTGTCAAAATGTGATTCTGCGGCGGGTATTCGTCGCAAACGGGCGGGACGGCGGTCATCGTTTATTTTTTTATTATTGCTATTCATTTTTTATTGTTTTATTTCGTCGAATCGTCGTCGTCGTGGACAACGCTAGACGTCGTGATTGACGCTGGATTACGTCAGTGGATCTATTTTTTTTATTAAAGACTTGTCAAAAACTTGTCTTTTGTTTTTTTTTCAAAAGTCTGGCCTCTTTTTTACAATTTTATTTAACCCTTTAGTGAATAGGTAGGCGTACAAGTACCCCTTACTCATTCACAAGGGGGGAGGCCGCATCTGGGTGCCCCTTTATTAAAGGGGTACCCTCATGTGAATAAGCCCCCTGCCCGCACCACCACAACCAACGCCCCAGGGCTTGTGGGGAAAAGGCCCTTGTCCCCATCGGCACAGGGTCCAAGGGGCTTTTCCAGGGGCCAACATGGAAAATTACCTTTCAAGTGCCGAGGGCATGTGGCCTGGTACAGGAGGGGGGCGCTCGCTCATCCCCCCCTTTCCTGCCCTGTCAGGTCTGTGCTCCGATCAAGGGTCTGGTATGGAATTTTAGAGGGGACCCCACGTCTTTTGTTCCCTATTTTTGGGGGTGGGGTTCCTCCTTAAAATTCCTACCAGACCTTAAGGGCCTGGTATGACTTTAAGGGGGACCAGGGATTTGCTTCTCTAAGGGGGAATTTCGTATCACATCCTGTTGTGGCTATCAGACAAGAAGTGAAGGGAAATCTCCTCAATCGGACACAAATGGAAATAAAAACAGTAACAGGGGTTATAACACTCCCTTAGGCTGCATTCACACATGGCATCTGTGTTTTGTGCGCGGAAAACCACAATTCTGCGAGTTTGTGGTTATTACTATAGCCAGAACGGGACAAATCAGCCCATAAAATCCTACTCTGACTTTTTTGTGGGATGTGTGTTTTTGTAACGCACGCACGCTGCCCTAGTGTGAACAATGCACATTGGAATGCATTGTTTTTTATGTTTACGAAGTTTAGAATTGCTCACTAAAAGCATTCTTCTGTACTGAGACCAAGACAAAAGGATTACTGATGAAGACAACACTAGTTAACAAAAATTATTAGAAATAATTGCGTCTTTTCCTATGTCACCTGCCCCCATGGCTGTGAAAATTCTGCAGAAAGCGATAAGAAAACCACAAGGAACACCAAGGATAGTCTATGGGCTAATGGACATACATTCTCTTTAATATCATAAAAGCCTGAACTATATGTTATAGTGTACATTTGAACTGGTTACACCAATACCCTTATTGTAAATAAAGCTGACCATACACTAGCAGGTCTATTCACAAAAGGGTGAAGAGTTTGGAGAAGGCAGGAGAAGTAAACAATCTAGGAATTGGAAAAATTCTCCAATTCAGCTCACTTGCCAAATCAGCTGTGGTGTTCTAGATTGTTCACCTCTCCTACCTTCTCCAAACTCTTCACCCTTTTGTGAATAGATCTGTAGGTGTTTCTTTTTTGTTCAGCCCTGCAGTCTGAAAGAGAAGAAAACAACATTGATTCTCCTATATCCACTAAGCAGCATGGATGGGGGAATTTCTTCTGCCGGACTATTGAATTCTGATAGCTGGTGCCTGCAGAATACCTGAACAGTGACTGCAGCTAATTGACATTTGTCAAACAAAGTGATGCCAACAGGGCCAACCACAGCTCTAAATTCAAGCAGTATATGGCCAGCCTAAGGCCCCGTTCACAACAGGGTGTTTCGGTCCCGCAGATTTGTCCGTGCTGAACCGCCGATATGAACAACCCCATACATTCCTATGGGGACCATTTCTGCAATCGCGCAGCTCCGCGTGATCCGAACCGCCTTCCGCCCAAAATGCTCCGAGCTCCTTTTTTCACGCTAATGAGTGCATTTTTCATATAGATTTACATGGAAACGCGCTGATCAGCAGGTTTTTGGGCATTTTTAAATGCTCTGAAACGTGATTAAAAACGCCCTTTCAAAGATCGCACAGAAACTGCGCTGAAACGCTTCCGCCCTGGTGTGAATGGGACCTAAATGTTGTCACATTTGTTAATGATATATGAAGTGATACATACATGTTTTTACTGAACCTTTATACAAATATAATGGGATTTTATTTTAAAGGAGTATCCTATGAATCGGAAACACAGAGGCTACTGTGTGATAATAAATAATGATAAATTTGAAAAGATCGACCCAAGGCCAGGAACCGAAAAAGATGCTGGTGAGATACATTTTCATTTTAGAGATTCCGTAAAACTAAACAAGGAAATATTTGTATTCCAAAGTTGTAGTTAGTTGTATATTGTTAGCCAATGATAAGCAATACAAACTATCCCTATTACTCACTGAGTAGATTGCAGTTGCAAGCATTTGTAATTACACCATGCTAAAAGCTGTGATCTGGGGGACCTTAAGAGTTTACAGTTACAATCTACTAAGTCAACACACCAATCATTGTTTGAGAGAGAAGTGACAGTCGGCTGCTAACTGCAGTCATTGTTTACTATATGTGATCCTGTGATTGGTTATAGAGATGCACTAGAGCAGGGGTGGGCAATTAATTTTCTCTAGAGGCCACATAAGAAACTGCAATTGTTTTAGAGGGCCAAATTCTGGGGGCGTAGAACACATTTGATGTCACTGGTTGTAGGACTGCCCGATGATCCTAGCAACCAATGACTGCAGAGGTGGTGGACACCTGATGTCATTGGTTGCTAGGACACCAGCGGTCCCAGCAACCAACGACTGCAGAGGAGGGGGCCTGTGCTGGGCCGTGGCTTGCAGTGGATGCACCAACCAAGGCTGGTGCATCCACCGTCAGCCAGCCATAACCGAGTGCAGGCCGGCGATCAGTCTGTGGGCTGGACAGGGACAGCCGAAGTGCCGGATGTGGCCCATGGGTTGTAAAATGCCCAGGTCTGCCTAGAGGGTGTGCACAGGCACAGAGAAAAACATTTTAAATGTCGTCCCATCCTGGGAAGGCAACTGTCCACCTTTTTATGTAAAATGGGCAGAGGTTAAAGTACATCTAAAGCCATAACATTTTTTTAGATTAGATAGGAAATAGGTAAAACCACTGTCAGGTTTTTTTGTAGCCGTGTGTTCCTATGGGGAGATTTCTTATCACTTTTTCTGTTTTATAGACACAGCAGAAGGTAAAAGAAATTCTCTCCAAAGTTAGGCAAATCCCCCCTTAGACAGCTGTCACTATCAGAATACTGTCAGAATACCAGAAAACTGACTACAGCTGATTGTCTGCAGCCACTGTTCACTCAAGAATTTTCAGGCTGGCTCCATCGATGAAAGTCAATTGAAAAATTGACTTTGGACGAATGGAGGGGTGACAACTGGACCACACAATGGTTGAATTTTGTCTGAGCCACTGAGGACTCGAAAGCAGGCCGCAGTTCAACCAGGGTGTGGCCAGCTTATGTGTTCTTTAAAGGAGAACTATGGGGTCAGGGCTTTTCCCCATAGTTCTCCTTAGGGTAACGGGCGGACACAAACTAGCATCCTCCCGTCACCCTAAGCTCAGTATACCGCGAGCTAGAGCTCGCGGTATACAGAGACGCCGCAGCTGAAGCAGATCCCGACAATTATGTCTGGATCCGCCCAGCTGCGTGAGTGACAGCTGGCTCTGCCTATCCGTTCTGCCAGTCAGCGCTGGAGGATCGGAGCGAGGAGGGGAGAATTTAGTCCCTCCCCTGTCACGGCAGAGAGCCATGTCAGGATCGAGAGGTGAGTGAACACCGGTATGTGTTCGCTCACTTCCCGATCTACGGAGCCGACCTGTGACAGTCTCATTGTCACAGGTCGGCTAGAACTATGAGGATGAGTGAAAAGCACTCACCTCATAGTTCTCCTTAAATGCTTTCTAATGCTGTTTAGTAACATTACCTGCTATATAATGAGATGCACTCTGCAAATAGACTGTGTGACTCCCTTCATGTTATTATAAAAAGCTAAAAGCTCATATGAAAAAATGTTGGCTGACTAGATGCAGTTTCATAAGCTACTTGGAGCAAATTCATATGTCAAGTAAGTGAACAATCAAAGCAGATCAGCACAGCACAATTCTACAAAAAAAGTCAAAGTCGGGGGGTGTGGCCTGGACATGGCGGCGCAAGGTCCTGGTTCTTTGGAGCTTTGCACAGCCTTTCCTCCCGGACTCTTTCTGCAGACTTTATTTACTCTCCCCCTGCATGCCGCACTGCAAGCGCTCCCGCAGCTCCTCTCCGCCGACTGCACACAGGGATATCCTGCAGTATTTTGTCCAGCATCCGTCCTCCCCACAGCCTGATCAAGGCCCCAACATGGCACCTGGCCGTTTCACGACGGTGAATTCCACCCCCAGCAAGTGGCAAACCAAACAGGCAGCTCTTCTCTAATCCTGACTCCCATGCTGCCGCGCAATGACTCACCCTCGAGATTGGAGTGCCCCGCTGCACCCGCCACACAGGGGCAGGGGGAGATGACACGTGGCACTCCATTCTCCCTCAGCTTACCACAAAGGCAGACCTCGAGATCATGGCTGCTAAAATCGTGCAGGCTCCGAGGACAGAGGTACATGAAATCAAACAGCAGGTGCAGGGGCGGACTGACAACACATGGGGCCCCCGGGCGATACGATATTATGGGGCCCCTTTTGCTCCGCCCATATACAGGCCCTTGGGTGGAGGGTCTCAACAGGGGCAGATGCAGAAAGTCTCAGCAGGGGCAGATGCAAATCGTCTAAGTAGGGGCAGATGCAGAGGGCCTAATGGAGCAGATTTGGAGGATCAGCAGGGGCAGATTTGGAGGATCAGCAGGGGCAGATTTGGAGGATCAGCAGGGGTAGATGTGGAGGATAAGCAGGGGCAGATGTGGAGGACCAGCGGGGCAGATGCAGAGGGTCAGCGGGGCAGATGGGGAGCATCAGCGGGGCAGATGGGGAGCATCAGCGGGGCAGATGGGGAGCATCAGAGGGGCAGATGGGGAGCATCAGAGGGGCAGATGAGGAGCATCAGAGGGGCAGATGAGGAGCATCAGAGGGGCAGATGCGGAGGCTCAAAGGGGCAGATGCGGAGGATGCAGGGGGGCAGATGCGGAGGATACAGGGGGGCAGATGCGGAGGATGCAGGGGGCAGATGCGGAGGATGCAGGGAGGCAGATGCAGAGGATCAGAGGGAGGCAGTGGCGTAACAACTGGGGGGGCGGCCGGTGCGCTGGCCCCGGGCGTAAAGCTGAAGGGGGGCGCCAGCCGCAAATGGCACTTTTGGCTAAATGCCGAAAGTGCCATTTTGTCGGCGCAGCCATGATTTCTTTCCTCCCCGCTGGGCGCTGCTCTTTGTCCCAGCAGGAAGGAGAGAAAGTGACAGCCAGCCGAGCACTTCAGTGGAGAGAGCCGTGATCGGCCGGTGTCTCTCCTCCCACAGTGCTCAGCCGCCTATCACAGTCCGGCAGAGCGGTGTGTGGGCGGAGACAGCCAGCGCTGCCACAGGAGGCTGAGCTCACCTCCCTGCTCCGCTCGATCAGCCTCTTGTGACAGCGTGTCAGAGAGGAGAGCAGGTACAAGCAGTCAGTGAACATTGATCGCAGAGTGTTTGTAGATAATTGAGGACATGGTATGGTTAATATATCCTCAATTATGAATGAATGGGAAGTGATCTATATCCACTCCTGTTCATTCATAATTGTTCATTATGAATGAACATTAACACTCAGTATAGAGGATTCCTGTTCATTGATAACAGGGGATACAGAAAAAGAGATTGAGGACTCTGTGTTCTCAATCTCTTTTTCTATTTTAAAAGGGAAATATCAGGGGTCTGTTAAGACCCACAATACTTCCCTGAAGCTCCTAAAAGTGAAGTAAAAAAATAAAAATATTTAATAAAAAATGTTTAAAAAAACTCTGGTTACGCCACTGGAGTGAGGTCAGCATGGTTGATGTGCAGGCAGTGGAGATTTGTGCTGGTCGTGGAATGCTATGTAATGTGAGCAGGGCATGTGAGACTCAGATGAGGCTGTGTAAACCGAAGACAGGGTCTGCTGTGCACGGACACATGCTGTGGGGCTGGAAGTAGATGAAAAGAGAGCTGGAGGGAGGGACGGTGACAGGCCCCGTCCTGCCCGCGGGCCCTCAGTCCATGCCCGAGTGCCCGAATGGTCAGTCCGCCCCTGAGCAGGTGGATTCCCTAGATGGCAAAGTCACTCTGGTGGAAACCACCACTACTGATCTCCTCTCCAGGATGTCGGCTGTGGAATCAACACAGGTAATCACACAACAGCGCCTGACTACTCTGTTTTTACATCAAGATGGCGCTGAGAATAGGATCCGCCGCAACAACATTAGACTGAAGGGGACACCCGAAGCTACTGCAGGACCTGAGCTGCTATCCACAGTCACGGCCATATTCAACATGTATCTGGATGTGGCTGGATGTGGCACCGATTGATCTTCTGGACTGGTTGGACTTCCCTGCTGGCCCCCTTGGCGCAGCTCTACGTTTCCAGTGACCGGCCTGTCCTTCCAGGAGCAGACGCAGCTACCAACCGCGTTCCTCCTCAGTCCTGGCTCAGACGGGACATGAGGACTGAAGACCGCAGCCTGGTAGTGGTTAATCTCCCAGTAAGAAACCCTTTTTGTGAAGCGGCCTAAAGTACTGCTGCAGTACTCTCCGCATTTCATTGTTGTTTACTATGATGGGGCCTACGCCTTTTATTGTTCATGGAGTGATGCCTCACCATAGGAGGGTTGTATGTTTATCTCGTTATTCATTTCACATTCATGGTTTGGTTCACTTAGTTATAACATCTGTGCGGATGTTCTACACAGAGCTTGTATTGCACTTACTGTGTCTAGGGACAACATGCACACGTCACTACAGTACGGGATGCATGGGGCGGGAGCCCGGCTCAGGTTCGAACCGGAAAGCGGGTTGGAACCGGAAAGCTGAGTCCATGTCGCGGACCAGTGAAGTACATTCCAGTTGCTATGCGACAGTTTCCATCGCTGGGGTGGCTGATTCCTGGACCCGGGTCCTGTCGTGTGACATCCTATTAGGCTGTGCATCTCCTGCTGAGGCGGCTAATCTTCACATACTTTTGTATACTCTGTCATTCCAAACACCCCCACATAGGGTTACCCCGTGCGTTAAACAACGGGTCACTGAAATTGTTTACATTGCCTGTACCGTTAGCCTGGTCAGGCCATACACACATATCTGTGTATATTTCTCT